ATTTCATAAAATGTGGACGGAAACGTTAATTATCTTTGACTCACCAAGACAGTGGGTCATTTATTAACATAATCAAGTTTAACACATCACACATTTACATTAATTGGCAAGAATTGAAAATAACGACAGCTTATTAATCAGTTTAGCAAGGAGTAAACAACACGGCGATTGTTTTCTCACTTCCAGCAGAACCACAAACGTCAACCACACGGCGGTGATTGAAAAACTTTGCTTCAGACATTTCTAAAAATATCTGTAATGATTTTTAGCAGCTAGAAGAATTTTAAAGATGGAAGGATGAAGTTTATCTTGAGAGAGATACGTGAGGGAATTTGTCTGTTTTAACCAGAACAGCACGCTCCTTTGGAAATCAGCTTGCCCCAACGGTACACTTTTGGTGAAGATCGACTTTTACCTTTCTGAAGATATCTCAGTTCCGGCGTAAAGTTCCACTTCGAGCCACTTTTCAGCGTCTCCGTAAGAACAGCTAAACCTCCGGAGTCGTGAGATCATCCAGGCCAGACTTTCATAATTCCCAAATCTTTCTCTTCAGTTTGATTCTCTTTTCAACAGCATCCTGAATTCCAGCCTTCATGAACTCTGGAACTGCTAACTCGGAGCTCATCTCTTGGAGCTTGGTTGAACTAGGAAGTGCCAACATTTAAAGAAGCTCACTTCCGGTTCATTTGAGAACTTTCTGATTGGTCGACTGACCAAAACAGAGGTGTGTTTTGTGATGTAAGATGTTATGAAAAGTCAAAGAAAAAGATTAAGATTGTTTAAGAACAGACAGAAGGTTGTTATGGAGGATTCAGACTTCGTGGAGCCACTTCTCCAGTATCTTGCTGTAAAAGTTAAACATGACATTTCTTTTTCAGTAAACTTGCAGTTGACCGAAACTTGAACTTTGAACAACTTACACCACCTCGCTCATTGAAGACAGAAAATCAGACAATGCATCATTAACCTGATTTCTTCTTTGAATGAGGATTAAGAATCATTATTACTGTTTCACAGTTAATAAAAATGAGTAGTTCACTTCAACATTTAAACATTGTTTGAACTAACACAATTTGATTATCAAACATTTGTAAAATGGTAATGATAATAGAAAGTAGTTTTCTTTTACTTGATTAATTCAAGAAAGAAAGTCTCAGGATGGGTCAACCTGTATTTCTGGATGCAAATCAATGAAATGACAAGTTCTGTCCCATATGGTCCTTAGGTCAAGGTTTTGACCTTCAAGCCTAGTTCACTACAACACTCAGCTGTGAACCACTCCAGTGAGAGCTGAAGATCACAGCATGATGATGCCAACAGGACCACATCATCTGCAAAGAGCAGAGATGGAATCCTGAGGCCACTGAACTGGAAATCCTCTGCCAGCTGGCTGCACTGAGAAATTCTGTCCATAAAATTTATGAACAGAACGGCCAGGACGGAACCCGACAAACTTGCCTCAACAAGCAAGGGGTGAAACATGGTCCACTCTGACTCAATGCCCCCCAGCTTAGCTGGGATGCAGTTAAAGCTCTCTCGGAGGTGTGAGTTGTAGATCTCTCTGACTGGTTTTTCTGCCAGGAGTTCCCAGCAAACCCTCACTACATGTTTTGGTCTACCGGGTCTGTCAGGCATCTTCCCCCGCCATCTGATCCAACTCACTGCCAGGTGGTGATCAGTTGACAGTTCAGCTCCTCTCTTCACCTGAGTATTCAAAACAAATGGCTACAAATCAGATGACACGAATATGAAGTCCATCATTGATCTATGACCTAGGGCGTCCTGGTGCCAAGTGCACATGGTGTTTGTGATGGACAAACCATGACTAGCACAGAAGTCCAACAACAGAACATCACTCAGGTTCAGATCAGAGGCTGTTCCTCCCAATCACGCCCTTCCAGGTCACACTGTCATTACCTACGTAGGCATTGAAGTCCCCCAGCAGAATAAAGGAGTCCTCAGCTGGCACACCTTCCAGCACCCCTTCCAAGGACTCCAAGAAGTCCAGATTCTCTGAACTGCAGTTTGGCGCATAGGCACAAACAATAGTCAGAGCCCGTCCCCCCCACCTGAAGGCGCAGGGAAGCCACCCTGTCATCTACTGGGGAAAATTTCAACACACAGGCACCAAGTCAGGGGGGGCTAAGAGTAGACCCACACCAGTACATATTATATATACATCACACAATTTATCACATGTTGTATCATCACACATTGTATGATCAAATATTTTAATGTAACATATTGTATCATAATTTATCATGCAATATCATTTAAAAAGATTCAAAACAAAACAACTGGACTTTATTTGTAACTGCTACAAATAAAGTCCGGTTGTTTTGTTTTTATTGTTTTTTGTTTGTTTGTTTGTTTGTTTGTTTTATTTACCATGTCCTGGACAACTGAGAATCTTCACCAGCATCATGCTATATCATAACAGTGTATTGTTTCTATATCTCTGACTGTAGTTTTGACTGTAGTTTATGTTACAGTTGTTGGGGGAATGTTTTGACACATTTAGTTTCTTCAGTTGCAGCTAAAGCAGAAACTCTGTGTTCATAGGAATTATGCTGCGATTTCCAGCAGCTTTAAATTTAAACATCTGACATCTGTTGGGTAATCGAGCTCTTATGCCTGAAATAAAGTTGTACTGCATGTGAATCATGAAGACTGTGTACGTCATGTTATATGAGCAGGCAGAGAACAGGAGCTTTATGTTTACTGTGTGTGGGTTTGTGGTACTTGTATAAAAATGTTTCATGTGTGTGTTTGCATGGCTGTAACCAACCCAGAAGCTGTTTGCTCTGGTTTTTAGGAGGATTTTCTGTGTTGACGTGTGAAGTGTTGTGTTAGGATCCATATGACAGGTGCTGCTCCACTAAATTGGATTTTCCATCCTGAGTTATTCATGTGCCTCTTCTGTTCTCTTGCATGCTTTCAATTTGTTCTGGCAGAATCTGAACAGTGACATTGTTCCTACCCACTGATGCGATGGCTGCAAATCATCTTTTTATGATAATCGTCTTTTCTCCCGCAGCTGCTTTGGGAACTCTGGAGTTCGAGCTGAGGTACGATCAGAGCTGCAGTGAGCTGCACTGCACCATCATCCGGGCCAAGGTAAAAGAACTCTGCAGCCAAACTCTTCATTGACTCTGATTTATGCAAATAAGGGAGCATCCCTGTGAGCTTCTGTAGATACAGAGCTATTTAGAAGTTTCATCACAGTCTGCCCACTTGTTCACAAGATCTATTTGGTATTTCATTTGTCTGGGTATGAACACGAACAAAATGAAACAAGTCCAAAGTTCACAGACTATCAGATCTTTGGTCCTGAAGCCAAGGTCCAAAATCAGTGAATTGTTCTACGTAGATCAGATCAGAACATCCAGAGAATCCAGAACAGGAGTGGACTGGAGAACCAGTACAGAACAGGTCTTTGGATGGTTTCAAAAAATAAGAGAGGAGACATCATCCAGTTTGTAGGATGAAACTCCTATTTTGAAAGTCCCGCCCTCCAGGTGGAAACAAACAGGCAGCTCTTGTGATGCTGATGGTGGGCGATGACTGGACATTTTTACTGCATTTATGAATTTCTTTTGGGTTTGGTTGTGAGTCTGGGTTCAGGTTTCTTCTGTAGGTCTGATGTTTCTTTGTTTGTGTTGGAGTCGTTTTTATTTTTCTTCTTTTACAAACAAACACATTAAAAGTCAGCAGCTCAGTTTGAGATGTTGGTCTCCATCTGAGTGAGCCTCGGGGCAGCACCGCATCCATCTGGGACTTAAACCATTTCAAACAAAGATCCAGGTCTTTCTGGTTCCAAACGTACAGTTCTGAGGCTCCACGCTGGGCTGGTGGCCCTGCAGGACTCATGCAGCTTCAAAAACCTTCTGACGGATCCAGGTTCTCCTGAAGCTGACATCCAGCTGTCCTCGGAGCGCTCTGCAGCAGAACTCTGAGCTGATTAACAAAAGGCAGGGGTCCCTTTCATTGAGCCCAGTTCTGACCCGATCCATCAGGGATCATGAGAAAGTCCTCCTGCTTCATTCTGACTCAAACTGACAGAACACATAAAAACTTCAGAACATTCAGTTCGTTGTTTTAGTTTAAAAGTCCAAAATTTTTTTAAATGTTTGAGTTTTTGGTGATGAAATGATTAAAGACAACGTTTTCACTGCAGACCTGGTGAGAGGTTCTGATCATCCTCAGTGAGAACTGAACTAGACAAAAGGACCTTCTCCTACTCCGCTCCTGTTTCCTGGAACATCTTGAACAAACATCTGAAGCTCTCGACCTTGACCTCTCTAAGTGGCTTCAAACATCTGATAAGTTCCAAGAACCAATGCAGACATGTTCCTGTTTTTAATTTTCTACACCGCCTTACAACCTAGCTGGTTTTTTTTCTACTTTTCCTTTTTACTGTCCTTTTGGTTGCCATTTGATTTTAACTTGTCAACAAAAAAAATGTGTACACCACTTTTATTCTGTTGTTGTCATCATTGTCATCATTCTTTGTTAAAATTCAGGTCTCTCTTGGAAATGAGTCCTCGAGGTTCAATGGGATTAACCTGTAGAAATAATGGCTGAATGAATGATCAGGACCCAAAGCATCCAGGTGGTCCACGCTCGACAAAGTCCTGAATAAAATATATTAGTTTATACTCCACTGGTCCTTTAAAACCTTCAGTTTCTGGACCAGAACCATGTCCAACATCAGGCTGTAGTTCTGACTGGACCGGGACTGGGTCAAATGTCAGATTGTGGTTCTGGTTGGGTTTTCTAACATCATCTGTTTCCAGAAAACATTCAAGCTTCAGTCCCAGCTCAGCTCCTTTTTCACCGTAGCAAACCAGCTCAACTGCCTCATTACTGCAGAGGAGGTTCTGATCTGTTTATCCATTTCCGGATCTTTTCATCATTCAGGGGATTTTCTTGTTCCAGTTCAGAACCCTGGACTGGACCCTCATCCCATCTGAAGGTCCCAGAGTCTAAAGACTCCCCACATCATCTGCAAAAAGCTGAGACTAAACCCAAAACCAGACCCCCACCGCTTTACGAGAACTGGTTCATGAACCACAAACAGGATCAGAAAACATGAGCCGTCCACCCTGGACTCTGTCTTGAGGATCTGGACAGCTCTCGGTTCGGTTGTACCTGGACCAGATGGACCTGAGAAGTGACTCGGATACCCCCATTCTCCCACAGCACCCCCACAAAAACCCTCAAAGATCTCAGCCATAAACCTCCTCCAGACCTGATAAACACACGTGGACTAGCGAACCAGACTCCCAGGACCCCCCTTAACAATTCTGTAAGCCTGTAGGTCCGATCCACTGTTTCAGAAACCTGGTCAGTCTCAGAAACTACCCAGAGTTTAAACCAGAACAAGAACGGAGACATTCTCACAACAAATACCACCTTCATCTTTCCTGTGAGGAGGAGAAACTGAAGCAGGTCTTTAAAACCAGCAGATCCCGACTTCAGTCAGTCTGAGGCAACCTGAGCTTCTTGGCCCAGTTCTGATCCTAGCAGGCATGAACCGGGTCACAACCAGGGGCGACAGAGCCAGAGGAGATTGCTTCATTTGCTCAGAGATGGAGGCTCATTGAGCTCCTGCTGTCTCAGATCTTCATCTCCTCCCTGGTTCTGCTCTCTGAGGCGTTTGAGGACCCACTTAAATGTCAGTAATTTCCACCTCCAGCAGCGCTGCGGACAGAAATCCAGTTTCAAATGAAGCCGCCGCCGCCTGCTGAGAACAGAGAAACAACGAAACGCTGCTGAAAACGTTGTCCCTTTGTTGGAAACAAATGTCTGACGGTTTGAAAAACAAATTAAACTGAAAGACGAGAAGAAAAACATCCCAACAGCTCCTAGTTTTACAAATAAACTGACTTTATAAAAATTTTAAAAAGTAAGTAAACATGTCAGTCAAACAGAACCAGGTTCAGTTCTGATTGTTTAATGATGAGTTCAGGAGAAACCTGCGGCTCCTTCAGTCACTAAACTTTAACTTAAAATATAGTTTGAAACAGAAAAACTCATCAGATTATTAAGTTACATCACCAAGTTTATGCAGAATATCAAAGATTAAAATAAATAGAAACAAAAAGGAAAACGTAAAATATTTGAGTGATTTTGGGCGGGGCTTTAATCTACTCTTAATTTCTACAGATTTTGTATGTAAACAATAATAACACTGATGTTTTTATCTCAGTCAGAACATTAAATCATTGTGTAGAAAAAGCTGAATTATTAAAATCAAAAGATTTGATTCAAGTTTTCCTCCCATTGAGTCTCGGAGAGATTCTGGTCATCTCATTTGTCCGATTTGACCTCAGGCCCCTGTGAAAGGTCACAACATCCTCATTTTAATTATGATTATAATTGTTTGTTTGTTTTGTTTTTGTGCTTGTTTGTTTGTTTGTAATGATTAGAGTGGAAAGCCTTCCTGAGAAATGTTTAGGAACAATTTCTCCTGATGACCATGTGTCGATGAGGTGGAGTGTTTCTTAGAAAATCACATTAATGTTTCATTTGTGACGATGTGGAAAGATTACTCAAATTAATCCACCAGAATATGGATCAAAAAATTTCAGGTTTATAAAAATGAAAAGAACACATACACTCCTCCTGTTACCATGGAGACAAACAGGTCCACACCTCCTGTTACCATGGAGACAAACAGGTCCACACCTCCTGTTACCATAGAGACAGTAAGATAAATCTAGAGTCAAACCTCCTGGGACAAAAGTCAGGGTTTTTGTGTTGATCGTGTTCTGATCCAAACATTTAAGCAACAGAATGTTTTCATTTTGAATCATGAGCATAAAATATTGTTTCACAAACAAAAAAAATCTGAAGCAAAAACTCTTTAAACATCTTCACTTTAATGTTGTGCTCAGTTTTTGAATCACTTCCAGAAAAAATGAATAGTTCTGCTCAGAACTCCCGTGTTGAAGAACCGCCTGTTCTGATGGGGTTCTGGACTCCTGTGGTTCTGTGTTCCAGGGTTTAAAGTCCATGGACTTCAACGGTTTATCGGATCCCTACGTCAAACTGCACCTCCTGCCGGGAGCCAGTAAGGTGAGACAAAACCTGACTTCACCCAGACTTCTTACAGTAATCCAGACTTCCAACAATAATCCAGACTTCCAACAATAATCCAGACTTCTAACAATAATCCAGATTTCCAACAATAATCCAGACTTCTAACAATAATCCAGACTTCCAACAATAATCTAGACTTCTAACAATAATCCAGATTTTCAACAATAATCCAGACTTCTAACAATAATCCAGACTTCCAACAATTATCCAGACTTCTAACAATATTCCAGACTTCCAACAATAATCCGGCTTTCCAACAATAATCCAGACTTCTAACAATAATCCAGACTCCCAATACTTATCCAAACTTCTAACAGTAATCCAGACTTCCAACAATAATCTAGACTTCTAACAATAATCCAGATTTCCAACAATAATCCAGACTTCTAGCAGTAATCCAGATTTCCAACAATAATCCAGATTTCCAACAATAATCCAACTTCCTGTGACCCGGTTCAACTCTGAACGATGGTTCTGCTGCAGACATCCAAACAGGACTGGATTGAACACTCGGTGGACGTATTTGGGGGATTTTTCAGTTTTTACCAAATTTCATCTTCATTCTTTGATGTTCTGTGGCCGACATCAGAGCTCTGCGTTCCTGACTAAAACACATTTAGAAACTTTTTTGTTTTGTTTTGTTCAATAAACTGAAAACCACGTCGGAAACTGCCAGGTGAACAACAACAACAACAACAACAACAACAACAACATGGCCTTTTTAAAAATAGTTTTGAACCCTATTTTCAGTGATTATAAAAATTGTACCTTTCTTTGTTTTTGTTCTGACACTTTAGCCCAACATTAAATTGTGTTTTTTGTTGGTTGAATGATTTCTTGCATCCGGTCCATGTTGTTGAACCTTCACGGCCGGTTCTGGTCGGTTTATCTCAATCCTGTTTAGAAAGAGGAAAATCGTTCAACTAAAGAATTCTGACTTGCTTTCACCTTGAACCGCTGAGGTGGTTTCTGCAGGAAAAGTCAACAAAACAAAGATTTTGCAGCTGCTGGTCCTGGCATTGGCTGACAAACCCAGATTACATGTAATCCTAAAAGTTAGGATTAGATTCAACCTGAAGCTGCAGCGGTTCTAACACCAAACACACAAATCATTTCTGTTTCTCTTTGTGTTTCAGGCCAATAAGCTGAAAACGAAGACAATCCGAAACTCTCTGAACCCGGTTTGGAATGAAACACTGACGTACGTCGGGATCACTGAGGAGGACATGAACAGGAAGACGCTCAGGTGCGTCCAGGTGGAACCCTCAGACCGCTCATAAAGGATTACCTAAGACCAAGGTCATTTCAGACCAGCTCATCAAAAACATTCGGACCAAAGTTCAGGGATCGTCTTAATTAATTCAAACCTGCAGCTGAGTTTTACTCCAAAGTTTCTTTTTAAGGTTTGTTTTTCCCTCACTCAGACGTCCTTGATGTGTTCTCATCTTCCAACATTCAATCCTACAACTGAGTGACGTCAGAGAGAGAATCAAACTGAACTTCATTTGAAACAAAACTAAAACATGCTGTGGTAGCAAAACAAAATTCAAGGAGACACATGGAACCCGACCGTGGCGCCAGAACTGACAATAAGTGAGAACTGAGACAATGAAAAGGCTGGAGCTGATGAGGGAAGTGGCTGCAGCTGCGACAGGTGAGACAGGAAGCAGGTGGAGATGGGCGTGGCCATCTGTAAAAACATTGAAGGCTAAGAGCTTAAGAAGGAACAGAAAGTGATACAGAGGAAATGCAGAGGAACCAAAACCACAGAAGAACCATAGGAACACATAAGAACACAGAGGAACTCATAGAAACCACAGGAATACAAAGGAGCACAAAGGAACCCCAGAGAAATCATAGAAACACAGGGAAATAACAGAGGAACACATATGATTACAAAGTAGCACATAGGAACCACAGAGGAACAGAACAAAACTCAGAATAAATCCAACACCACAGATCCTGGCAGTCTGAGGAGACTCCATAATGCTTTTGGTTGAAGCCTTCTACTTTTTGATGAGATGCCTATTGCCCGCCACCTTTCATGGAGAGATAGCCTGCTAACATACAAAAAAGTGCTCCGTAAAGCTAGAACTTTATATTATGCATTTTAATTTTTTTGTTTAACCTTTATATCACCAGGAAAATCCCATTGAAATTAAAAATGTTTTGCAAGAGAATCCTGGCCAAGACTGGCAGCAGCACACACAGGTTACAGAACATTCACAACAAAAACAGAAAAAGTTAACTCCGTCATAAACAAATTAATTAAAAGATTCCTCAGTTAAAACATTTACAGACAGATGATTCCTTCACCAAATCAGTAAGAACAGCCTTAAAAACTTGTAGTGAAAATAGCTCCTTTAGGTTCATGTATTTCTGCAACTGGTTCCAAGAAGATGGAGCAGAAAACTGAAAAGATTTCTTTCCAAGTTCAGTTCGGACTTTAGGCACTTAAAGTAAAAATAAGTTCTCACAACGAAGAGAGTATCCTCCGGTGGACTTTCTCTTTTTAAAGGCCAACAAATAGGAAGGAAGAAGTCCTAGTATGACCTTATAAATAAAAATATGCCAATGGCGAAATCTACGAGTGGCCAAGGACGTCCATCCAACCTGGTTGTATAAAGTGCAATGATGTGTAAAACATTTTAAACCTGTTATAAATCTTAAAACTCCATGATAAACAGTATCAAGTGAATAAAGACATTTAAGAGGAGCATGCATGTATAAAATATCACCATAGTCCAATACAGACATAAAAGTAGCATCAACCAGTCACTTTCTAGCCTCAAAAGATAGACAGGATCTGATTCTGAAATAAAATCCCAATTTTAATCTTAGTTTCTTCATCGTTAATAGAAGAGAAAAAAAACCCCAGGTTCTTTTTCAGTACCAAAGCTAGTCTAATGAAAAATCCTATCGCTGTTGATTCATGTATCCTTACAACTATAAGCAGTGAAGACTTCACAAGATTCTTTATAAATAAAATTGTTTCAATTAGGGGAAAAATTCAAACCAACATTCCTAGTATCGACTCTGGTTCTGTGTCAGATGAGACAACTTTAAAAATGTCACTAGAACCTGATTTATGTTTGGACTGTTTTTGTCCTGTTGAGCTCTCTGAATTGTCAAAAATAATAGTTTCATCCAAACCATCCACATGTTTGCTAGATCCCACCCCAACCAGAATGTTTAAAGAGGTATTTCCCTTAATTAATACCCCCGCGACCGGACCCCGGATAAGCGGAAGAAAATGGATGGATGTCTGTCATGGTTTGTTATCTGGGTGTCCAAATGCTTCTTTAAAATGTCTTCAGTTGATCCAAAATGCTGCTGCCAGAGTTTCAACTGGAGTTAGTGGGAGAGATCATATCTCTCCAGTTTTAGCTTCTCTCCATTGGCTCCCTGTCAAGTCCAGAATTGAATTCAAAATTTTACTACTAACCTACAAAGCTCTCAACAACCTATAGCTCCATCTTATATTCGAGATCTTAATGTTCCATATTTTCCTATCAAAGCACTTCGCTCTCAGACTGTAGGTTTACTTGTGGTTCCTAGAGTTTCCAAAAGCAGAATGGGAGGAAGATCTTTCAGTTATCAGGCTCCTCTCTTGTGGAACCAACTTCCATTTTCTGTCCGTGAGACTGACACATTGTCCAGTTTTAAGACTGGGCTAAAGACTTTCCTTTTTGATAAATCCTATAGTTAGGGTTGGCTTGTTATGCTGCTATAGGCTTAGACTACTAGAGGACAAATTGACCTCATTTCCTTAAATTAATTGTTAAAATTGAATAGTTTTCATTTGATACTATTTATATCTTGACGTGATTCTTGACCTGCCATTGTGTATCTGTTCCTACCAAACCCAGCTGGTCGAAGCAGATGGCCACTTGCTAAAGGTTTCTTCCTCATGAGGGAGTTTTTCCTTTCCACTGTCGCCTTCATGCTTGCTCAAGATGAGAGTTCTGTAATGGAGCTAAATTCAAAGCAGTCTGCTCCTCAGATAAATAATGTTAAATTATTATTTTTATATGTGAATGTTTCTGTTCAGTGTCCTGAGGCGGTTTCTGTTGTTAGGTCACGGAGGTCGCTGGTGCCCATGACCAGCTATCACTGTGCGAGAGGCAGGGTACATCCTGGACGGGTCGCAAGTCCATCACAGGGACACATAGAGACAAACAAGACACACAAACATATTAACTCTCACTCTCACCTAGGGACAATTTAGAGTTACCAATCAGCCTTACATGCATATTTTTGGTCTGTGGGAGGAAACTGGAGTACCCGGAGAAAACCCACGCATGCATGGAGAGAACATGCAAACTCCACTCAGAAAGGCCCCCGGACCAGGATTTGAACCAGGGACCTGCTCGCTGAGAGGCAGTAGCTCTACCAGTTGCGCCACCGTGCTGCCCCTGGAGCTTTATAAATAAACTGAATTCAATGAAGAAGTTTTAAACTTTAAAGTGAAGAGACTGAGTCGGTCAGTCCTGGTGAAAGATGTTTGATCTAAGGAGATCTCTGCCAGCTAGGATGACTCAGCAACTACCACACCATGTGTTATCTGTAAAAACGTAGAATGATTGAGGTGTAGCATTAGCTGTGTCAGCCATCTTGAATCAGGCTGACTCCAATGATTACTTAATGAGAGTTTGATTAAAATTTGTCCAGAGATTCATGAGATATTTTACAAGCAGAGTTAATGTCAAAGACTAAACAAAGCTCTCGTGATCTGTTAGCTCTCAGAGTCCACTATGAAGATGACTCATCTACTACCACACCAAATATGAGCCAAATGATTTTTAATGATTTATTTTGAATGTTTTTATCATTCTGAGTTATTTTGTGTGTCCTCTGCTCATCTCCCTCAGGCTGACGGTCTGTGACGAAGATAAGTTGACTCATAATGAGTTGATTGGAGAGTCCAGGGTGCCTCTGAAGCGGGTCAAACCGAACCAGACCAAACATTACCGCACCTGCCTGGAGCACCCTCCTCCGGTAACAAACCCACAGGATCCAAGCGTTCCTGGGTCGGTTAAACTGGTCTGGATCAAAACTTTCAGACTTTCTGAGGATCTTTAAACCAACTGGATAGATCTTCCAGCTTTAGTTTTAACTTCTTGTCAGATTCTGGGTTTGAGCCCAGTTTTTGGTTCAGCTCAGTCTCTTTGTGTTTGTTCTTCCAGCTGCCCTCCCCCACAGCCATGGGTGAAGCCCTGAGAGGAATCTCCTGCTACCTGAGAGAGGTAAGAGTCCATCTGAGAGTCTGAGGGGGACTCTGATAAATCTGATGGGATGGAACAAGAGACCGAAGGTTTTGGGGTCCAACAAACAACAGTCTGCTCCTCCAAGAGTCCATCCTGAGAAGAGGTCACTCGTCTGTTAGGATGAAGTTTCAGATTTGGAAGGAAAAAGACAACCATTTTACAGGTTATCCTGATTCATGCTCTATAATCCAGGTAATCCAACAAAGTTAAATCAGGCATGAACTTGAAAACAAGATGACTGGGTATCAGGGACCATGAGAGGTATAATAATCTGGCAGGTTGAGGAGGTGAGAGGAATCCTTAAATAAGGCCATGAACAGGTGCAGTGAATCAGGGCTGATTAGCTAAAAGTGCAGAGGGGGTGTGGCTGAATGACAGGAGCAGGGAAACAGAAACATGAACACTAGACACATGAACTGAGTGAGGCAGGGGACAGAGGATGATCATTACAGGCACCTCTCAACCTCACACACAAGCTCAGGCTCCTTCCCCACCAGAGAGGTCACATTCCATGTCCCAAGAACGAGCTTTGGTAAGCCAGGGTCAGAGCCCCAAGGCCCCCGCCTTCGGTTACTGCCAATGGTGTCATGCACCCGTATGGCCCCTCCTGCAGGTGGTGGGCCCACAGGAAGGCAAACCCATGTTGTTCATTTGGGCTGAGCCCCAACGGGCCCCATGGGTAGAGATCCGGTCATCAGGCACTCGCTGATGAGCCCCTCCCCCAGGCCTGGCTCCAGGGGGGCAAGGAACACTGCGCTCTTTGCTGTTTTCTGTCCATATGAGTTTTTTGGAACCACTCTTTGTTTGGCCTGTCACGTAGAACCAGTCTGCCTTGGGAGACCCTACCAGGCAGTTAAAGACAGCAGAGCTCCTAGGATCATTCAGGCGCACAAACTCCTCCACCACAATAAGGTGGCGATTCAAGGAGGAGGAAATCATTAACATAACAACTAAAAATAGTCCCTAACACAGAGCCTTGGGGGACCCCACCCAGCAGAGCACTTAAGATATGGTGAGATTAAATCAGCAATTTTCAGCAATTCTGCCGGTCCTGTGAGCTTCAAACTCTGTTCACTCACGTCTGATGGACTGCCACAAACAATAAGACAGATCTACTGCAAGAAATGTGGAGGTAAAACCTCTGCCTCAACAGCTGAGAGCCGAGCAGCGAACGTTTTAATAAAAAAGTTTCTGTTCATTCGTTTGTCTAAGCGCTGCTTCATCCTTCAGGGTTTGGTTGTTTCGTCCTCTCCTTGAAGAAGTCTGGAGGGTCTGACTCAAGCTTTTAAGAGCTTGCCCAGATTAATTTGGGTCGGTGCAACCTGGGAGGTTTTTTAAAAGAGCCAGAGCTCTGGTTGTTTTTCAGCTCATTAGTGGCCTCAGAGATCATCCAGGTGTTTGAACAAAAACAGACGGGAGTCAAGTTTATCCTGCAGGTTTTCAGTCAAGCAGCCGAAGACAAACAGGAGCTCCAGCTCAGCTGCAGGCAGAACCAGCAGAACTACACTGGTTCTTTCTCTGCTGATAAACATTTAATTAATGTGTTCATCTTTCTGCTCATTTAGAGTTTTGATTTTAAATAATCTAATGGAACTATCTGACAACATAAAATATGTCAAATTATCAGTGTGAGCCTGAAAACATTCGTGTTAATTACACGTCACGCTTCACTCCGGTTAATATGAACACGCTCCAGTTGTTTTTATGTAGAACCTGCAGAGCTGAACGGATCCAACTGAAAACAAACAGATTATTGAAAACTGGATCCCTGCAGGCAGAAATACAAGTTTTCCACAGAAACAGAAACCCATCTTCTGGTGCTGAAGGTTCAGCTCCTGATTCACTCCTTAAAGGCAACAGATTTACAGAAACAACAAATCAGAACCAAAATCGTCGGCCTGGCTTCACTTTCTGACCCGGCTGCCAGAGACCAGATGGTGAACGACAAAGTCTCCAAATGTTTGTGAATGTTCTCCCATCCTGAACACGTTCCAAGAAACGGATTTGCTCTCAGAGTCGTTTCATTTCAGACCTGTCTGAAGTTTGTTTCAGTGTGGGTCAGAAAACAGCAGGCACGTGGAAGAACTTTGGGAGGGCTCTGAGCCGGATTGAACTGCCACTGCCGAAATCAAACCTGACTTGGTTCAGGAAGTGGATCTCACAGCAACTTCAGCTGGAGATCATGGATCTACTGATTGTCTCCTCTCAGCTGCAGCTGCGAACAAATGACCCAAAATCACATTTTACTGCTTTTCTGACGTTCAGACGGATCAGAACTTTAGAGTCTTTAGTGAAAGGTCAGCGTAATCTCAGGCGGTTCTGTCTGTAATTAGAACCTCTGCGGAGTTTCATGGAGTCTGAGCCTGAAGAATAAATAAGAAGGATGAAAGCTGAGATGAGCCGGAGGAGCTGAGATGAGTTTTAATGAACTGAGGTGGAGGATCCAACTGTGTGGGAACATCTGCCTGGCCTGCAGTTCTGCTGAAATGGACAAGAAGAATCCCAGAACCAGAACCTATGAGGTCATTAAGAGGCTTCCATAAGAACTTATTATTATTATTAATATTATTTTTAATTGTCATTAACCTTTACTTACTTTACTTTTTTTCTTTTCATTCAACCTTTATTTCTACAGGTTAGTCTCATTGAGCCTCGACTCAATTTACAAGAGAGACCTGATTTTAACAAAGAGTGATGACAACAGTAGACAATCATATAAAAAACATTTAAAATGAAAAGTAAATAGAAGAAATTATATAAAAACTAAACAAAAACAGGTACATTGTAAGGCAATATAAAATACTAAAAACAGGAACATGTTGGTTTTTGCCATGAACTTAACAGATGTTTGAAACCACTTAGAGAGGTCAAGGTCGAGAGGTTCAGATCTTTTCTCAAGATATTCCAGGAAATAGGAGCGGAGTAGGAGAAGGCCCTTTTGCCTAGTTCAGTTCTCACTGAGGGAACACTGCAGGTAATAATGTCCTGAGAGCGCACGCTGTACCTGCACTCACGCAGAGACATGTGAGGAGATGTATGAAGGCAGCAGACAAAAATGCCTCGTTTTAAACCTAGAACGATTTTAAAACGGAATATGAAGCATTTTTGTGAACAAGCCTTTCTTTGGGATCTGTTCTACTTTGACTGGCAACACATATTATTAAATGATGACGTGAGTCTTGATTGGAACGATTTTCATAATAGTTTCATTCATTTTGTAAATAAACACGCTCCACTTCACCAGCTCAGAGTAAAGGACCGGGATAGCCCCTGGTTTACTTCTGAACTATCTGACCTTTTGCACAGGAGGGACCAGCTTTGGCCAACAGTAAGACAGACTGGTTCAGACACCCATTGGTTGCAGTTTCATCAGTTACGGAATCGCTGTCCGGCTTCCATTAAAGCTGCAAAACGAAACTACTATTTATCTCAGACCACCAAAAATCTAAATGATCCTGCGAGCTTCTGGAAAACGATTAAATCTCTTGATGGCAGCACTCACTCATCTGACCTGCCACCACAATTATTTGTCGACTCTGCTCCTGTGTCAGATAAGCATGAGATGCTAAATTGGTTCACCAAATATTTTTTTGCCTCCAGTTCCTTGTTTAATACAGTTTCTACAGGTAAATCACCTACTCCACCAATAAGTCAAACCTCAGTAAACCATACATCGTTAAAAGATCTGGATACTAGAAAACCTGCAGGCCCCGATGACCTCCCTCCTTACTACTTAAGTCTAGCTGCACAAATTATAGCAGAACCCGTGTCATACATTTTCAGTCTGTCTATACAACATAATACTGTCCCAGATGCTTGGAAAACAACTGTTGTGCTGCCATTATTGAAGGGAGGCGACCCCACTGTACTGAACCATTATCAACAAATCTCCAAACTGTATTTTAGCTAAGGTTTTAGAAAAACTGATAAATACTCAAGTCAAGAAGTATTTGGACTCTTAATATTTTATATTCTCTCCAATCTGGCTTCAGGAAACAACACAGCACAATGATCGCTTCACTAAAGGTTTTTAATGATGTTGTTGAAGCTTTGGATGCTAAGGATTACTGTGCTGCACTTTACTTAGTCCTGTCCAAAGCCTTTGATTCTGTAGATCATGACATCTTATGCCACAAGCTCTCAGATATTGTCGTCTCAAATCACACTGTTGGCTGGTTCTCAAACGATCTCTCAGGTCGGAGGCAATGTGTTCGACATAACAGTACTTCAGCTAGCTACCAAACGGTCACCATGGGTGTGCCACAAGGCTCAGTTTTAGGTCCCACTCTTTTTACAATTTATATAAATAATGTAGGTCAAAACATTCTTGACGCATCCTTGCATCTCTATGCCGACGACACTGTTGTTTATTGCTGAGCTAACACAGTTGCCAAGGTTTTCCAGCTTCTACAGTTTGCATTTGATATCATTCAGTCAGACTTATTCCATCTCAAGCTGGTACTAAATGTTGACAAAACCAAAGGGATGTTGTTTTCCAACAGAAAGTCGGTGCCAGCAACTCTTCCTCCTATCTCATCCATGCATGGTGTTCCTATTGAGTTTGTAGATTCTTACAAATACTTGGGAATTTTGGTCGATGCACATCTCTTTTTTTTAAACCACATAGTGAAAACTTGATAAAGAAACTGAAAATAACACTGGGTTTATTTTTCAGAAATAGATCTTGCTTATCTCTGAATGCCAGAAAATGCATTGTAACATGGCTGACTCCAACAGACTTCTGTGCAGCCTTCACCGGCTGCATGACAGAGCAGTGACCTGAGGAGCCTAGGTGGGAGTGGGGCATTGCCCTGAAAGCCGCTTTGATGTTGCTGTAGATCCCATCCAGAGTATTCACTCCTCTTGTTGCAGAGCCTACAAACTGATGAAACTGAGGAAGAACTGTTTTTATGTTTGCTGGGTTAAAGTCCCCAGCCACAATAAAAACTCTATCTGTTTGAAAAATGTTAGGATAATTTAATTATCCCATAATAGTCATTAAATAAATATGCCACACAGGAGAGAAGATATTTTCTTACCCGGTTTTAATATTGCAAGATGGATCAGCGTTGAGATAGCAAGCATCAAGATGTTTACATGGCACTTCATCTTCAAGTCCGCTCAAAGAGAGCATAAAGAAGTGTCTTTTTACAACGTTATCAGAGGCTCTGCCTTCCAACTTAGGGCCTTGAATTTATCGGGTGAAAAGCTCCATGCTTCAGCAGCACTCTGTCCAGACAAAACAACTCTTAACACACACACATGGTTCATATACATTTGACATTAATAAGTGAAAAACATCTGTGACCTTTCACATCCCCCCCCCCCCCCCACTCATAGATTTTTATCACTTATCAATAACTCACCTTGCAAGCTAGGATGCTTTATGCATGTAGAGGAAAACCCACCCAGGGCAAAGAGTCCAATCAGGTGGGAAAGCACCAGCATCACCTTATCACCTTACGCCCCTATGACGGTGGCCTTAATGGCACATTCAGCGTCTTCCTGGGTTTCATCAGTTCAAAAGAAATAAAAAAACAAACAAAAGCCCTCCTCAGACAGAACCCTCTCTCTCTTCCTCTCTGTGAGTTCTTCTGAGTACAAATCATAAAATCAACAAAAGTAAGACAGAATGGCATTGTTCACCTTCATTTTACTACATTTCAGCTATTCCCTCTTTATGAGGTTAGAAAACAGTAGCATTTATTTTTAATGCCACACATAATACTAGGGCCTCCATCTTTCTCCTGAACCCTTTATGTCAACAGATTCTGCAAGACCATTTCCTCCTCTGTCACATCCCTTGTCCATCCAGTGATAGTATGATGTTTATGGCATTTAGATCGGAGATGCCTCGCAGGTTTGGATTTCTGGGAGGCTGGTATTTGTAGAGAAGCTTCCTGTTTTCAGTTCAACCCATGTTTTGACCAAGTCCTGTCCAAAAGGTTAATTTTAATGTCCAAAAATGTCTCTGGCAAAAGAACGCATACAAAAAAATGACAAATATACTTATCTCTTATAAGGCTGTTTCAAACAAAAATGTCACTCATTTTAATTCATTATTTATCCATTCGTCTTCTGCAGTATTGTATTGTAGGTGTGTCTTTTAATCTTTCGACAGAAATTAAGTTATTTAAGGTCCTGTTCAGGCTCGTATGATCCTCCGACCAGCAGAGCTCTGAGCCCGCAGAACACGCAAGGCCGGAATCTCGAGCCCCGAGTTGGTATTAGACCACGGTGTTGTCATTATTGTTTTTAAAATCTTCAAAATAGGTCCAGCCGCTGCTCCGAGTTCCAAGAAATTGCAAATGGCAGATCGGTGTATTGAAAAGTTTCTGGAAAGATCCAGTGACTCCGCCCCGACCAATCAGTGACCAACAGTCAGGTTTAGGTACCGGCTCGGCCCAGTTGGAACCACAGAGCCAAGGGTCCTGAAAAAAGGGACCGGTTCTATGTACCTGTACTAATGGAAAAGGGGCATAAGTTTCCACCAGAATTAGAGCAGAACAATTAGTCTCTCCCATCGTTGCTAGCTCGAGTTGAAGATAGTCCTTTTTTTTCAGCGAGTGAATGTTTACGAGCAGGAGAGATGGAAGCGTTGCCATATATGGGTTGGCCCTCAGTTTGGCTTTTGACCCTCCCCAGTCGCTGCGTTTCTGCCTTCGGTCACACCGCCTTCATTTTACCTTGAGTTGGCTTGCACTGGCATATATCTCGGCTGCTCTGTGGGTGTCCAGGACCTCTTCTCATAGTATGCCAAGACCTCGAAGACACTCAGTTATACCTAAATTTACTGATTCACGGCCACTGAATGTGTGTAGTTCCAGTAAGGTCTTGGAATCATAACTAATTCTGTTGTTCGTCCATTGAAAAGTCAAAAAATTGTAAGTAAAATAAGAATCCACAACAAGACTGCTTGGAGACGATGCAGCCGTAACCGGATCTGGTGCTGCCATTTTTTACTTAATTAACCAGGTAAATCCCATTGAAATCACATATCTCTTTATTAAGGAAGGTCTGGGCCTGAAACAGCCTAACATGCATGTTTTGGATTGTGGGAGGAAATCGGAGTACCCGGAGAAAACCTATGAGTAGAACATACAAACTCCACAGAGAAAGAGCCCAGGTCCAACCTGGAGACTGAACCTGGGACCTTCTTGCTGTGAGGCAACAGTCCTACAAGAACATAAACTCCAGAGACAAACCAGAACCATCCAGATTCTGAATAAAACCCAGAAATACTCAAACCAGAACAGAAACTAGACCCAGATTACAGAAATAACTACTACTAGTCTAATGAAACTAATCTGGTTAGCTTTATCTGGTTAAATTGATCTGATCTTGTCTGCAGTGGGAAAATGAGCAGCTGCACAGCCTGGAGGAGCGAGGTCGTCTTCTCCTGTCCCTGCAGTTTCTGCCTCCGGTCGACGTGGTCGATGCTGACGCTGACAGAGGAGGAGGAGAGGAAGGGTGGCGGGGCGGCGGCCTCTGTGTGGGCGTAAAGCGTTGCGCTCATCTGGCAGCCATGGATGTCAACGGATTCTCCGACCCTTACGTCAAAATGTAAGAATATTTTTTTACAGAGACACAAACTCTGATTCAGACCAAAGTTTTTTTTTTGTTGTTTTCTTCTCTTCTGACATTTATTTTTCTGAAAAACAAACTTTAAGTTTTACCAACAGACGCTGGAAAACACTTTTAATGCTGAATTTATTCCAACGTAAACGTAAAGTTCAGAGTTCCGGTGTTGGAGAAGAGATGCTCTTTAAAGGTACAGAGGAACGTTCTCCTCTGACGAACTTTTGTTCTTTTCATTCGTCACAAAACCACAGTGAGGGCAGTCTGGACTGAGACTGTAGAACCAGATGAGGTTCCTGAGAAGAACCCTATAATCCTGAAGGATTATTAGCCTGTTTGACTGGGTTTAAATATCTCCTTCAGTCTGTCTGGGATCTGGACCTGGTCCAGGCAGCCATGGGGAGCCAGTGGAGCTCAGTGAGGAGTGGAGGATCATGAGTTTGATGGTCTGACAGGTTCTGGATCACCTGTAGGGGTTTCACTGCTGGGAGCTGAAAGCTAACTGTGCCTGAACCAAGAGTTCTGTCAAACTGAGTCAGGTATGAACAGATTTTACTGATGCTGAACCAAGACATGAACAGGGCCAGAGAGGAACTGGTCATCAGTCAGGACTCTCAGGTTTATTCCAACCCTTTGTCGAGGAAACAGTAGAAGATCTGACTTTTAGGTTGTTATTTGATTGGATGGTCTGATTTGCAAGGAAGGCCAGTTCTTCAGAGGTTCACTTCAGGTGGTGTTCCTTTAACAACAAGGATTTCTCTGAGACCAGCTGATTCACACCGAGACTTTCATCCTGGATATAAGAAGTGCAGCAATAAAAACAAAGCCATGTGAGCAGAAGATTTGGCCCATAGAGAACAGGAGTCTGAGCACACAGCCCTGTGGTACTCCAGTAGAGTGCTGATGTTAAACTGATGTTTGTCCTTCTTGAGACCTTCACAGATCAGAGATGCTCATGCAGATGTGATGGTTTTCCATTTCAGAGGATGCAGAGAAGAACTGAGGCCAGATCATCTCAGAGAGGTGAAACTGAACGTTTTTAGAAAATTAATGCTGCCTGAAATGACAATAAAACAGACTGATAGCTTTATTGCAATTATCAATATAGCCCACTGCCATGTAAGCTGGGTGATCATGTATTTGCCTGAATTTTGTTTACTGTTAGCAAAATAACTCATGAATCATAAAATGAATATTAACAAAACTCAGCTTGATTCAAGATGGCTGCCACAGCTAACTGATCTTAGCACACACAACAGTGGCTCTAATTTAAGTCAGTTTTACAGATGATTAGCTGAAGTTTGGTGTGGCAGTGGCTGAGAGTCATCCCCAACACATACACTGAGGGCTGACAGATCACATGTTTATAAGTTTGGTTTGAATGTAGCGGGCGACATGCATTCCTTCAAGGAACACAACCTCCATCCAGTTCTTTGAGTTTTTTTAACACAATTATTATTAAAATGCTTCAGTTTGTTTTTCATTTACTCTATCATATCTTATCTTGTGAAATGAATATTAATTATTAGGTTCATGAAACTTCTTAAAGTCAAATGTCAAGTCAAGTCATATTTATTTATAGAGCACAATTTAAAACAGATAGACTGTTATCAAAGTGCTTAACACTAAGGGTAACACTAAGAAATAAAATGTAGCTGCTGAGAATGAAACTCTGAAGAATCAGGAAGATCATCCGCCTCAGAAAGATGAAATGTTGATGTTGTGATCAATGATGCGGTTGTTGTTAAAAAGCTCCATCTGTTTCCTGAGAGGATGAATAACGAGTGGAAGAGGGGAACAGTCAGCATTCTGTCAGTAGGAAACTGCAGGCCATCTTGTGTTTATGTCTGCCTTTTGTTTCCAGACATCCTCCCTTTAAACAAGAGGACGGTTTATTATTTGTTTCTGCTGCTCGCTGTTCTGATCCCGTCTGACTCTGAGCCAAAACAAGACGCCGGCTGACATGCGACTGCTCGGCAGAATGCAAATGAGCTTTAAAACTAACTGCAGCATCCAGAAACAACCGAACGTTGTGCCTCAGCTCAGAGTCAGGATCTAAATCTGCTCCAAACTGGTGCAGATCCTTCAAAATGAGTCTCTCTTTAACCAGAACATCATTTGTTTTAGGATTAACCGGTGACGTGGACGAGATGGACACATAAAATGTGGGGCTGTTTTTTCAGCCCGTGATAACCCCACACATAACTCGAGGATTTATCATTCAAAAAATTCAGACTAACAACACCTTGAAGATGAACCGGGAGAGACACACGAAGCCCAGGACAAAAGAAAAAAGAACTGATAAGAGCACTAACTATGGTGCCGACCGCGCTGCCCCGGAGGACACAACCACTGAAGATGCCAACCTGATGGCTAATGGCAGCACTATTCACTCTGTTGTAACTGAAGTTATGGCTACGGGGCTGGACAAATTAAAATCACAGATGAAGGAGGGTCTCCTCAAGACATTAAAAGGCGACATGAAGACACAATTAAACAAGTTAAGTGATAACATCTACCAGAAAATACAAACTGCTACTGGAAAGATCGAGGAGGCTGCACAGCACCTGGTGGAGGTTGACAAAAATATGGCCAGGGCAGAAAAGTGGGATTTGGCCGTGAAGGACACTCTGCTTGAGCTTCTTAACAACCAACAAACCTGCAAATCAAGCTGTCGGACCTAGAGAGTCGCTCCCACCAGAAGAACATCTGCAGATACAGCGTCGCGGAGAGTGAGACCCCGGAGGGCAGCTCCGCAATACGGTTTGTTGAGAATCTAATAAAAACCGAGCTAGGTGACAACTTGGACATTCAGCGGGGCGCAGACCTGGGAATCGAACGGGTGCACAGAGCACTACACCTCCAGCCACCACCCGGAGCACCAGCGCGCTCCATAGTAGGCCTGTTGCAATAAACAATAAATCAATTAATCGCATGATAAATGATAATTATCGACCTAATTTTCATTTATCGGCTTTATCGTTTCTTCGTGTCTCTCTTTCTACTGAAGACACTGGATGACAAAAGGCTCAACTCTGGTGCTCTTCGCTGACGGCTCCCTTTCTCTTTTCTCTTTAAAATCCATTTTAACCGTTCAAAATCACGTTTTTGGATTGTTAAAAGCAGCTAAGCTGAGCAGCTAAGCTACGAACTAAACTAACAGGCCGACCTCGGGGAAAAAAACCGAAGCTCCAAAATTCACAGTTGAAACCTGTGCCTTCGTGTAAAAAGTTGCTTTTCTCTGCAAAAAGAAGCTGAGAACTTGTTTGCTGATTTTTTTTATTAAAAGCTTAGTGTGGAAAATGCTATGCTAAAGCGCTCAAACCACACCGAGTGCCCGCCATTTAGAGAACCAAAAAACAGGAACAAGAGACAGCACGTCACGTAAAGTGGCCTCTCTCCCATTTTTCTTAAAAAGACACGCTGCTTGCTCCCTCACGATCCATCCTTCCATTCAAACAGTCTTATACAGCATGTCTTATTGAGCATACATCAGGATAAGTCTTGTACAGCCATCCAGTGGTCGAAAAAAGGTACTACACACAAAAATTAAACATTTCTTCTTAAATTTGACAATTACTAATTATTGCCAAATTTCAAACAATATTATCATTTATCTCAAGAAGGTCTGAGACAATTAATCGTCCAGCAAAATTTATTATTGTGACAGGCTTACTCCATAGTAGTTAATTTTCTGAGATTTACTACAAAGGATAAGGTCCTCCAGGCGGCCTGGAAGAAACAGCTGTTTGTTCACAACAGACGTGTTTACCTTGATCATGATTACGCAGCAGACGTGCAGCAGAAAAGAAAGGAATATATCCCGATAAAGAAAGTGCTTAAAGTAAACCACATCAACTTCCAGATGTTGCTGACAAAGATGAGAATACACTTTCCTACAGGGACTGTCACCTGCAGTGACGCCAGTGAAGCAGCTGAGGAGATGGAGAAGCACAGCTACCTGACGGGACCAATACGACTGAAGAAACCCAATGAACACAAGGCGGAGACCCTGACAAAGTTGCTACCATGGCACGTAAAAGAAGGAACACACGAGGAGGTCATCAGACAGTGTTTGAAGGAATTCTAAAGAACCATCAGGGAGGATGCAGAGCACGAAGAATGTGGAAACAGATGCTTGTGACTGTTCCTCCATGTTTGTTTGCCTTGTGTGTAAGTTTGGAGCTAATAGAAATTGAAATAACTGTATACATAAACACTCCATGGCAATGAGATCTGTTGTCTAAATGTGTGCGTGTATGTATGT